AGCCACACAGTCCGAGTATGCAATCCCCGGCGAGGTTCTTAAGATCAGATGCGCGTTCAAGTAACTACATGAACCACATTCGAAAGGGGATGCGTGCTTTCAAAAGAAACTATTAATGCTCAATCACTCCATGCTTCCTTACATGGATTTTAGAAATAACCAGAATGAATGGCATCGCTCACAAGTCGCTCTGATAAACACAACAACAACACCACAACAGGAAAAGTGTCTCACCCTGGACGTTTTCAATTGGCCGGCTCAAAATATACAGCACACAGCGCATAATAGACGACGTTAGACTATCCAAATTGATTTCCTGTATGAAAGTTCCAGTGTAAACGAGGAGGATTAATGAGAGAGTAGTCACGCTAACCTTATTCTCTTTTCGACTAGCAATAGAATACACACTGTACAAAAGTTGTAGCAATCTTAGAGGTTCACCAACAATAAAACCATTCCAAAGGCAGTCGACTGCGCGAAGAGCCATGTATGAAATGTTAACTCCTACCTAAAAAAGATTCGGTTCTGTTGTATATCGTTCATATTGTAATTATTCATTCCGCTATTCATAGTATTTTGAACATAATGCACAACTGAAACGACATTTAAGCCAAATGATGTTTTCTCAAAACAAAGACGATTGTCAGCCAATTACAACTCACTTGAGCCAATGATTGAGGAGGAGCGTTTGGAGGAAGAGATGACGAAACCAGCAAATCAGTACTTAGTAAATGTTCGAAGATCTATAAAGATGAAAATCAGAAACGAATGTCACAGCATATGAAGCAAATTTTACCCCGTGAATGAGAGCTGTCAAAGCAACGATCTGTAACTTTCTCGTCCGCCCATTCTCGCATATATTCTGGAAATGGTCATTACACGATTACGTAGCACAGCGGACTTTACCTACAAAAGCTATGGCGTGCTAGAGGCACTGGTTTGGCGCAGTGTCACCTATTGTTCTATCAACTGTAGTCACCGCCAGCTTCCATAATCGGTCGAGAAAGGGCTGACACTGCGTCAACGCGAGCTCCTCAACGCTCTTTACCATCCGTAGCGAAAAAGACTGCACGACAATGTTTCAAAGCTGTTCAAGTGTGATAACTCCTGTTGAATCGCAGTGCGCGGGCATCGAATGTTTCTACCAGAATACTGAGTTATGGGCAAAATCAAACCCCAGACAGGACTCGAGCCCGCATTCCCCGCTTACCGGGCGGTTGCGTTTCCATTCGGGGTGCTCCTACACTTTCAGCTAATGGCTTTTTGGACCGCTGCCTTCCAGCACTCAGCACGTCTAACGCGATGAGTAAGAGGGTACGAGCGATACTGGTAGCGTACTGGATAACGCAACCGCCTGGTAAGCGGGAGATGCAAGTTCGCGACCGATTTTACTTTTGCTCATAACTTAGCATTTTTGTGACAGCTGCATAAGATTCACAGCGCTAAATCCCATGAAAGAAGAGCAAAAAGGATACACTTTAGTTCGCTGCAGACGGTTGGGCGTGTCAGGCAGTATGTCACCCTTTCAAAGCCGTTCTCTGCCTTCTTGTTGAAACGCGCATGCGACAAAGTGGTAGAAAACGAGTAACGAACGGTATGATAAAGCTTACTTCCGTAATGACGTCAATCAAACTATCCACTCGGCTTCCAGGAGCAACTTGGAAATCATCACAAAACAACTTTTTCATGAAGTCAAGAACGGCCTTTGCACTTGGCAGTGCTAACACTGAAAGATTTTGAGATTTTCATAATCTGAAGAGAGAAATCACTTAATGAGTTTTGACCAACATTTCAGAAAAAGGGACCGAAAAAATAATGCCAAGATAAGGAATAAAGGCTCAGTGATGCTTATGGAGTGCCCAGGAGTGCTATTGTTCAACCACTAGAGCACACTTATGTACTAGCAAAGAAATTGGACAACAAACAAGTGGGCACGAAAATATTCTGCCATCTCCGATGCGAAAAAATTAGTCCAAAAATACAAAAATGATCGAATGTTGGAGGGCAACTATAATT